CCATCATCTCCAGCTTTCCTCTGTTGTTGCCAATCTCACGTACTCCCACACTGCCTTCTTTTAGATTTTTAGATTACTTTCACTTTCTTTAGTGACTAAAATATCCCTCTCAACCTCTCTCTTTATTGTTCCACTTGAGTAGTTCATGTTACAATTTTTCAAAGTTTGTCACTCTTCATACTGTGACCTCAGGAATTGAACTCAATTCCAATGACATTCTTCACTGATCTCCAGCCACCCAAAGGAACAGCCAAACATTCCGTCCTTTAGAACCAATCATCAGGGCAGCCCGGGTGGCTCAGCGGTTTAGTGCTGCCTTCAGCCCAGGGCCTGATCCAGGAGACCTGGGATTGAGTCCCATGTCAGGCTTCCTGTATATGGAGCCTGCTTCTGCCTGTGTCTCTGCCTCTCTCTCTGTTTCTCTCATGAATAAATAAAATCGTAAAAAAAAAAAAAAAAAGGACCAATCATCATTATCTTGTGCCAACTTCAAGGTCTTAAACTCACAAACTGCTTAAACAGTCCCTTTTTCTCCTATTTCACTCCCATTAAACTTAATGCCTCTGTGACCTCCATTCCTTCAGTGCCTCTGCATTTTCAGTTTATTTGCTAAATTTTGTCAAAATTTGTCCTATCTAGCTGGAACCAATGGCGAGCCATTTCAGTGGTTCTTTCTCCATAATACTGATTTTTTTTTCTTTTGTTATTTTAAGTAAGCTCCTAAAAAAGTTTGAACTTATGATCTTAGATCAATAGTCCCATGTTCTTCTGACTGAAGAAGATGGTTCTTCTGCCATCTATCATACTTGATTTCTTAACACCTTTGTTTATTCTCCTTGCAGTACCAATTCTTTAAGAGTTGGCTTGTGTGTGCCCCAATTTTCTCCATTCTTGCCCCTGGGTATGCCAAGTCCTATAAAACAGTCAGTTGGTTTCACTGTAAATTCATGGTGTCCAGGCTCAAGTGGGCACATTTTACTATTTTGTATTATTTTCATATCAAAATGACTTCTTTGTAACTACCTTTTTCAAGGTATTTCTGCTCTCAAATACTTGAGCCTCAATCTCAACCATTACCTTTTTCAGCAAAAATGAAGTTATTTCGCTGAGAAGATCTAGGCCAGCTAATGCATCTGTCCTACACTTTTCTCAGTTGTTTTTCTTTTCTCTCTAAGCCTCTCCAAGGCTAAGGCCTTCTCATACTTTATCACCTTCTCCTTACGACCTGTCCTGGGATTTTCATAATTCTTTTCTTGACTCTAAAGCTTCTCTCCATTCTTTTCCCCTACAAAGATTTCCTAGTTGAAAATGAAAAATAAGCAATAACCCAACCCTGCTTCTACCTAATGCTACCTCCACTACAGCAAACATGTAGATAGCTTTTTTTTTTTTTTTTTTTTTTTTACCCAGGATGTATAATTGTTGAATACCCTATGTTTCCTTCACAGTTGGCTTTCAAACTCAGTATTTTGAAACTGTCTTCTCAAGCATTGTCTTTACCGAAACTAGTATTTTTAGTCTTTATCCTTTTGGTTTCCTTAAATAAACAGGTTATTTAAGCTTCAGGGACTCTTGCCTGGAGGGGACCTTGACCCTTAAATGTTTACATTGTTGAATATATCTGTAAGGTTGGAAAAGTAAAATTTTTTTTGTATTCTTGTTCTCAAGCTTCAGTCCTAACAAACCTAGATTTGCAACTTTATAAAAAGAGGAGAGGGGGTCTGCCCATCATATAAAAAAAGTCATCAGCTTTTGTTATAGCCTATGGAGGTAACAAAATGGGGCATGGTTCCCTCCAACTTGGTCAAAGCCAGGAATAGAGTTAATTGCTACATTAAGACATCTTGAATTGATCTAAGAATTGTATTCTTTTCATGCCCAGGTCCTAGGTCTGCTCCTCATGATTACAGGTTCAGGAACTAGATTTTAAGCAGCTTGACCAAGGTGATCAAGCACTGGAAGATTAATTTGTGCTAACCAAACTCACGAAAGATGCTTTATAAATCAGAACATTTATCTTAGTAAATGTTGGAAGGAATTGATAAATTGTAAGAAGGAATTGATATCTTAATATTGGCTATGGTTATAAATATCTGCTGTTCTAGGACACTGTCTTAACTAGATCAAGGTGTTCTAGAGACCAAATATGATTACAAACCATATGGTCTTCATGATTTTCTCTTTTAAGATTTATTTACGTAATCTCTACATCCAGGGAGGGGCTCCAACTCAGACCCCGCCTGAGATCAAGACACTGAGCCAGCCAGGCACCCACAGTCTTCATGATTCAATGTGAAAATAACTGAGTGCTTAAGACCTCTCACTTCAGGGGTAAGACCTGAACCTCAAACTACTTAAAGATAAGGAAAACCCTGTTTCTTACGTGACTCAGGGTTGTGCGCCATTCGGACCTACCAGTCTCAGAGCCTGGTCACTATCTAGCCTTAAGGCGTGGTCTGTTGACTGTATCCTTTGCTGTGCAAAAGCTTCTTATCTTGATGAAGTCCCAATAGTTCATTTTTGCTTTTGTTTCTTTTGCCTTCGTGGATGTATCTTGCAAGAAGTTACTGTGGCCAAGTTCAAAAAGGGTGTTGCCTGTGTTCTCCTCTAGGATTTTGATGGAATCTTGTCTCACATTTAGATCTTTCATCCATTTTGAGTTTATCTTTGTGTATGGTGCAAGAGAGTGGTCTAGTTTCATTCTTCTGCATGTGGATGTCCAATTTTCCCAGCACCATTTATCGAAGAGACTGTCTTTCTTCCAGTGGATCGTCTTTCCTCCTTTATCGAATATTAGTTGACCATAAAGTTCAGGGTCCACTTCTGGGTTCTCTATTCTGTTCCATTGATCTATGTGTCTGTTTTTGTGCTAGTACCACACTGTCTTGATGACCACAGCTTTGTAGTACAACCTGAAATCTGGCATTGTGATGCCCCCAGATATGGTTTTCTTTTTTAAAATTCCCCTGGCTATTCGGGGTCTTTTCTGATTCCACACAAATCTTAAAATAATTTGTTCTAACTCTCTGAAGAAAGCCCATGGTATTTTGATAGGGATTGCATTAAACGTGTAAATTGCCCTGGGTAACATTGACATTTTCACAATATTAATTCTGCCAATCCATGAGCATGGAATATTTTTCCATCTCTTTGTGTCTTCCTCAATTTCTTTCAGAAGTGTTCTATAGTTTTTAGGATATAGATCCTTTACCTCTTTGGCTAGGTTTATTCCTAGGTATCTTATACTTTTGGGTGCAATTGTAAATGGGATTGACTCCTTAATTTCTCTTTCTTCAGGCTCATTGTTAGTGTAGAAAAATCCCATTGATTTCTGGGCATTGATTTTGTATCCTGCCACGCTACCAAATTGCTGTATGAAGAGAAATCTCACAGACGAAGACACAGACATGGCCAACATGCACATGAGAAAATGCTCTGCATCACTTGCCATCAGGGAAATACAAATAAAAACCACAACGAGATACCACCTCACACCAGTGAGTATAGGGAAAATTAACAAGACAGGAACCAACCAATGTTGGAGAGGATGTGGAGAAAGGGAACCCTCTTGCGCTGTTATTGGGAATGTGAACTGGTGCAGCCACTCTGGAAAACTGTGCGGAGGTTCCTCAAAGAGTTAAAAATAGACCTGCCCTATGACCCAGCAATTGCACTGTTAGGGATTTACCCCAAAGATTCAGATGCAATGAAACGCCGGGACACCTGCACCCCGATGTTTCTAGCAGCCATGTCCACAATAGCCAAACTGTGGAAGGAGCCTCGGTGTCCATCGAAAGATGAATGGATAAGGAAGATGTGGTGTATGTATACAATGGAATATTCCTCAGCCATTAGAAACGACAAATACCCAACATTTGCTTCAACGTGGATGGAACTGGAGGGTATTATGCTGAGTGAAGTAAGTCAATCGGAGAAGGACAAACTGTATGTTATCATTCATTTGGGGAATATGAAAAATAGTGAAGGGGAATAGAAGGGAAGGGAGAAGAAATGTGTGGGAGATATCAGAAAGGGAGACAGAACATGAGAGACACCTAACTCTGGGAAATGAACTAGGGGTGCTGGAGGGGGAGGAGGGAGGGGGTGGGGGTGACTGGGTGACGGGCACTGAGGGGGGCACTTGACGGGATGAGCACTGGGTGTTATTCTGTATGTTGGTGAATTGAACACCAATAAAAATTAATTTATTAAAAAAAAAGGCGTGGTCTGTGCCTTATACGTCTCACTCCCAACCGCACCCTATTTGGCTGTCACACGCCCCTACAGCACATCTCTTCCAGTTCCCCCGCCGCCCTGCCCTTCTCTTATCTCATTCACGTTTTTCCTCCCTCTTCCATGACCTCCAAAGTGTGTGTGTCGAGGTCAGTGCCCAGGCTGTCCTCCCCAAGGTCCCTCCCAATGTCACTTGTGTTGTCACCTGCCTACTTTCACCTCGCCTCGCCTCCCTGGCCCAGCTTGGCCCCACCGTCCTGGCCGAAGAGGGGGCGTCGAACTGGGGTCAGGCCGGAGCCCTCCGGCCTCCGGGGCGAGAGCGTCGAGAGCGTCCTGAGGCCCGTCCCGGGGGCCCGCGCCGCGGCGGGGAAGCTGTGAGGGCTGCTTCGTCGCCCTGGCGCCTGCCTCCCCCTTTTGTTCTCTCCCAATCCCACAAAACCACCGCCCCCCCCCCCCCCCCCCGCTTTTAGCCTCTCCACGAGCCCGGGAATCGCCTGTTGCCCTCAGCTGCAAGAAGTGTCCCAGCAAAGGCAGAAAGGGGCGCTCCTACTTGGGCATCCAAGCACGCGCGGGCGCCGGCGTCTGCGCCAAGGCGACAGAAGGTGGCCAAGCCCCGGGCGGAGGGGGCAGGGTGGTGGGCGCTGAGCCAATCGTAGCTCGTGACGACAGGGCCGGCCAATCAGAACCCGGAGGCTGGGCGCACCTGGGCGGGGCCGGGCGGGGAGGACCGCCCCCTCGCGGCTCGGGGGCGGACGCGTCCGCCCAGCGCCTGCTGGAGCCGCGCAGGTTCACGGACCCGGGGCCTGGGCACCTTGCGAGCTGGGGGCAGGTGTCCTCGCGCCCAGCTAATTTCTTTACCCGCCTTGGCCTTAACAGGCGTGTTGGTGCCTGCCGCGGACGCATTCGGACCTGGGCTGATCTCCGGAGCCTGTACCCGTGCTCGGGGCCGAGGGAGGTCGTTGCCTCGGCGACTGCAGCATGCGGCCCGCGGTCCTGAGTGTGAGCCTGCGGCGGGCGGAGGCCAGGCTGCCTCCCTGCCCGCTTCGCCTAGGACCCGCGACCGTGTCCACACCAGGAACCACACCGCTCTGGAACTGCTAGTTTGCTAGTCAGCGTCTCTTACACCTGAGAGACAGATGCATTTCACCTCAAATTTGTTTCCAAGTTGACGATCTTTGGGTCTTTCGAAACAGTAAGTATATTTTTAAAAAGCTTTTATTATTTCGTTCTTTGATCTGTGATAGATTTCAATGTTTGTTTGTCTTTAACAAAATACAGTGTTAGCATTATTTTTATTATATGATTGTTGGTATTAGAACCATATGCTTACATGGCACACGTCCAGAAATACCGCATTGCCAATTGCCAAGGCATTTTTTTTTAGGTTTTATTACCCTTACACACAGGAGTAGAAGGCATGAAAGATTGTAGTTTATGAGCAACTGTTTCAGGAAACCAGTGGCTTTTTAAGCTGTGATACTTCTAAGGTATTTGTGGGCCGTGCCACTTGAAAATACAGTCGTGTTCGATGTACTGTGACTGAATGGGTTTCCAGAATAAGCTTGGAGTGGCCAACTTGCTTAATGTTAGCTTGTTAGATAGGCTTCAGAATATCTTAGACATGCTTAAGTTTTGTTCACTTTGCATTTTCAAATACTGAGGACACCAACTGCAAAATGTTTAAAAACGATCGAGGTTACAGAGTCCAGCTCTTTTTGTTCTTGGCACGGTAAACCTAAAGTCTAGTCCTTAATAAAATATGCTGTCTTAATGGAAGGGGAAAAAAGTTCAGGAAAGCCAAGATAGAATTACATCGAGAATCTCTTTTTCAAACAGACATTTTATTTAAAATAGTTAAAAATGTCAAATGGAAGTTAATATGTCAAATATGTGCAAAGTTAACATTGTGGACACTGCTCTGTAAACAGTTTATAGAACCTACTATCAAAGCTAGTGGTAAAATATGAAATAATTCTGATCTTCCACGTATATCTATGCATATATATATATATATAATAAAACCCTAAATTATTAAGGTAAACTGATGAAAATGTATACACACTGGATTATCAGTTTGCTAGAACAAAAAGCGTATTTGTTTTGTCTTTGTTATCAGTGTACTAATAGGGAAGCAAATAAAACATCACAATTCACAATCTGGGTAAATTAGTTTTAGATTGCCATAAGGACACAATTAATGGACAGATGACTTTCTATGTTTTATGAATGAGTGTTTTTATATTTTTACGTTAAAAAATCAGCTATGAATCATCATTTGAATATATAGTTACTGAAAGATTATTTTTTTCTCCCAAAACTTTTAGAACCATATTGGGATTAGGATAAATATTTTTTATTCTTTGCTTCTGGAATTTAATTTCAAAATCAGAATTAAGTAAATTTAACTTTGGAGTTTATTAGCCTTTTTTTAAGATTTTATTTATTTATTCACAAAAGACACACACACACAGAGGCAGAGACCTAGTTAGAGGGAGAAGCAGGCTCCCTGCGAAGAGCCAGATGCAGGATCCCAGGATCACTCCCTGAGCTGAAGGCAGATGCTCAACTGCTGAGCCACCCAGCCTTCCCTGGCCTTTTTTTTTTTTTTTTTTTTTTTTTTAGGATTTTATTTATTTGTTTGAGAGAGAGAGAGAGCGCTCAAGCAGGGGAAGCAGCAGAGATAGAGCAGCAGGCTCTCTGCTGAGCAGGGAGCCCAATGTGGGACTCAGTCCCAGGACTCTGGGATCATGACCCAAAGCAAAGGCAGATGCTTAACTGACTGAGCTACCCACATGCCCCATGGAGTTGGTTTTGTTTGTTTGTATTGTTTTTAAGATTTTATTTATGTATTCATGAGAGACACCAAGAGAGAGGCAAAGACACAAGCAGAGGGAGAAGCAGGCTCCCTATGGGGAGCCTGATGTGGAACTTGATCCCTGAACTCCAGGATCACGCCCTGAGCCCAAAGCAGAGTTTAACCACTGAGCCATCCGGGCATCCTTTTTTTTTTTTCCCCTTGTATTCCATAACTGGGACTATCCAACAGCTGATTTTACGGGTGGAAAAACAGAGATGAGAGGTGGACCTAGGAAGGGGGACTGTTTGGAGCTATGGTAGCAAGCTAAGGAAATCTCTTTTCTATTTTTTAAAAAAATTTTAAAAGATTTTTATTTATTTATGGAGACACAGGCAGAGGGAGAAGCAGGATGCATGCAGGGAGCCTGACGTGGGACTCAATCCCCGGAGTCTAGGATCATGCCCTGAGCCAGAGGCGAACGCTCAACCACTGAGCCACCCAAGTGTCCCCGTGGAGTTATCAGTGTGTGTGTGTTTTTTTTTTTTAATATTTTATTTATTTATTAATGAGAGACACACAGAGAGAGAAAGAGAGGCATAGACACAGGCAGAGGGAGAAGCAGGCTCCATGCAGGGAGCCCGAGGTGGGACTGGATCCCGGGTCTCCAGGATCATGCTCTGGGCTGAAGGCAGCGCTAAACTGCTGAGCCACCCGGGCTGCCCTGTTTATTAGTTTTTATATTCCATGACAGTCAAGACTTGTGAATTAAAATCTATCTGTATTTGAACTGAAAAGTTTTTTTCTATACCAAAATATGTAGTGGAATGATTGCTGATACTTCATCAGTCATTACTAGTATTGCTCTTACCCAAAAAAATGTCAGATAATGAGATGTCAAAGAATTCTAAACACAAAATTCAGGTTACACTCCATTTACACTGCATAATCATTAAAAGGATTTTTGAAATATTGTATTTGGTACTACTAAAACTTAATTTTTAAACAATTTGGTTATAAACTGTGATGTCATTGTTATTTTGTAAATTCAATATGGGAATTTAATTACTATCATAAGAGAAGTAAAGAAAAATAGTTTATCAAAGTTTCTTACTGTTAACTTGGTAAGTAAGTAAGTGATAATTTTGTGAACAAATATTTTTCCCAACTGAGTAGAAAGTGCATAAAATTTTTCAATTTTGCTTTTTTTTAGATTTATCTATTTATTTGAGAGAAAGAGAGAAAGTATAGGTGAGAGGAGGGGCAGAGGGAGGGAACCACCCTCCCCCCACCCCTCACTCTGAGCCTGACTTTGGAGCTCAATCCCACAACCCACGAGATCATGACCTGAGTGGAAACTAAGAGTTCATTGCTTAACCAACTAAGCAACTCACACGCCCCTCAACCTCGCTTTTTTTTTTTTTTAAGATTTTATTTATTTGAGAGAGAGAGAGAGAGAGAGAGAGCGAATGAGAGAGAGAGCACAAGCTGGGCGAGGGGCAGAGGGAGAAGCAACTTCCCCAGGGAGCAGGGAGACCAATGTGGGGCTCAATCCTGGGAGTTGGGATCATGACCTGAGAGAAGGCAGTTGCTCAACCGATTGAGCCACTCAGGTGCCCCTCAACTTTGCTTTTTAAAATCTGATGTAAATAAATAAATAAATTTGGTCTTCACTAAAACCAAACTCACTGGGGCCCCTGGCTGGCTCAGTTGGTAGGATGAGTGACTCTTGATCTCCGGATTGTGAGTGGGAGTCCCACTTGGGTGTGGAGATTACTTAAGAATAAAATCTTAAAAAACAAAATAAAACTCATTTGTGCTTTTTCACCTCTGAGTGAAAAGAAATTGTGTTTTTCTAAAGTAAGCTATAATTGCTGTTTATGATAGTTCAAGCATTGTTCTATCTGTATCAAAAATATATAGAAAAAATATATAGAATTTCATTAACATGGCATCTAATAATTTAAATTTAATGGCTTTAATTCTTGTCTATTATGAAATATCTATATGAAATAATCTGAAAACATAGCTTAGATGCGGAAATAGTAAGAAATAGTGAGTCAGAACAGAACAGCCATTGACACAGTGACTACTCTAATATGGAAAACAAGTGGGGAAGAATTAATTTACTGGAAAGGTGGAGGAAATTAATGTACTCAACATTATTAACTCTATGTTTTGACTCCCACAGCAAGAAGAATTCCGACTGTTTTTGAATCAAAATGGAAAAATATGAGAACCTAGGATTGGTTGGAGAAGGGAGCTATGGGATGGTGATGAAGTGTAGGAATAAAGATAGTGGAAGAATTGTGGCCATCAAGAAGTTCTTAGAAAGTGATGATGACAAAATGGTTAAAAAAATTGCTATGCGAGAAATCAAGTTACTAAAGGTGAGTAAGTATCAATATTGAGTTAAAAAATTAGTTGTTTCTTGATCAAGATTACATTTTTAGAGAAAAATTACTGTTTTTACATTAATTTCCATACCAAGATTTAAGATATAAATTTTTTTTGTCAATAAACAAATAAAATTATTGTATATGCATATTCAATTTATCCTATGACTGTAAACATGATTTTTAAATTATTTGTTGCTTCTTTCTGTATCTATCTGCCTATCGATCAATATATTATCTATCATCTGCGTTGGGGGTCCTAAGGACCACTCCATCATCTATGACTCAATATGAGGACTCAGAGCACTCATCATTTAGTTGTACTTATGGCTGTGATTTATTATAGTGAAAGGATACAAAGCAAAATCAGCAAAGGAAAAGGCACATGGGGTGAATTCCAGAGAAAACTAGTCACACTGGTTTCCAAGAATCCTCTTCCAGTGGAGTCCCACTGAACACACTTATTTTTTTACCAAAATGAGCTGTGACAACATATGTGAAATATTGTTAACCAAGGAAATTCAGTAGATTCAGTGTCCAGGGTTTTTACTGGGGGATGTTCATGTAGACACCCTCTGCCTGGCTCATACCAAAATTCCAGAATCCCAGAAGGAATACAGATATTCAGCATAAACAACATTTTTAAAAAATTTTTATTTATTTATGATAGTCAGAGAGAGAGAGAGAGAGAGAGGCAGAGACACAGGCAGAGGGAGAAGCAGGCTCCATGCACTGGGAGCCCGACGTGGGATTCGATCCCACGTCTCCAGGATCGCGCCCTGGGCCAAAGGCAGGCGCCAAACCGCTGCACCACCCAGGGATCCCAACAACATTTTTTTTTTTTTTTTGCACATTGAGCCACTTTATCAGTTCTGGAAATGAAGGGAACTTTCATGAAATCCAAGTTCCCAAGTGCCAACCAAGAGCTCACTTTGCAAGCAAACCTTTGTGAATCTCAGGCCCAATATGTGATCTCTCTCTAATCAGTCTCACCAAAAGTTTATCAATTTTATTTATCTTTAGAAAGAATCAATGTTTGATCTTCTCTATTTTGTAGTTCTTTTAAAATTTAATTTAAATTCAGTTTAATTAACGTATAGTGTGTTACTAGTTTCAGAAGTAGAATTTAGTGATTCATTAGTTGCATATAATAACCAGTGCTCATCACATCACATGCCCTCCTTAGTTCTCATCATCCACTTACCCCATCCTCTCACCCACCTCCCCTCTAGCAGCCCTCAGTTTGTTTCCTATAGTTAAGAGTCTCTTATGGTTTCTCTTCCACTCTGTTTTTGTCTTATTTTATCTTCCTTTCCCCGTGTTCATCTGTTTTGTTTCTTAAATTCCACATATGCATGAAATCATATGATATTTGTCTTTCTCTGATTTATTTCATTTAACATGATACCTTCTAGTTCCATCCATGTCGTTGCAAATGGTAAGATTTCATTCTTTTTGATGGTTGACTAATATTCCATTATATATTTACCACATCTTCTTTATCCATCTGTCAATAGACATCTGGACTCTTTTTATAGTTTGGCTATCATGGATATTGCTGGTATAAATGTTGGGCTACAGGTGCCCCTTCAAATCACTATGTTTGTATCATTTGGATAAATACCTAGTAGTGTAATTGCTGGGTCATCAGGTAGCTCTATTTTTGACTTTTTTAAAAAAAATTATTTATTTATTTGAGAGAGAGCACACACAAGCAGAGGGAGCTGTAGAGGGATCCTGGGATCATGACCTGAGCTGAAGGCAGATATTTAACTGACTGAGCTACCCAAGTGCCCCTATTTTAAACTTTTTGAGGAATCTCCATACTATCTTCCAGAGTGGCTGCACCAGTTTGCATTCCCACCAACAGTGTAAGAGGGTTCTCCTTTCTCCGCATCCTTGCTCACATCTATTGTTTCCTGAGTTGTTAATTTTAGCCATTCTGACTGGTGTGAGGTGGTAGCTCATTGTGGTTTTGATTTGTATTTTCCTTTTTTTTTTTTTTTTGATTTGTATTTTCCTGATGCCAAGTGATGTTGAACATTTTTTCATGTGTCTGTTGACCATTTGTATGTCTTCTTCGAGCTTTGCGCAGTGACAGTATCGTAGCCACAGGTTTATCGAAGGCATGACTATTGCTAATTGTATGTCTTCTTCGGAGAAATGTCTGCTCATATCTTCTCCCCATTTCTTGACTGAATTTTTTGTTTTTTGGATGTTGAGTTTGATAAGTTCTTTATAGATTTTAGATACTAGCCCTCTATCTTATAAGACATTTGCAAATATTTTCTCCCATTCTGTAGGTTTTCTTTTAGTTTTGTTGACTATTTCCTCTGCCATGCAAAAGCTTTTTATCTTGATGAAGTCCCAATAGTTCATTTTTGCTTTTGTTTTCCTTGACTTTTTTGTTTTAAATATTTTATTTATTTATTTATTTATTTATTTATTTATTTATTTATTTATTTATTTATTTATGAGAGACACACAGAGAGAGAGGCAGAGACACAGGAAGAGGGAGAAGCAGGCTTCCTGCAGGGAGCCTGATATAGGACTCAATCCTAGGACCCCAGGATCATGACCTGAGCTAAAGGGAGATGTTGAACTACTGAGCCACCCAAGTGTCCCCTCCCTTACCTTTGAAGATTTGTCTAGCAAGAAGTTGCTGCAGCCGAGGTCAAAGAGGTTTTCTGCTTATGTTTCCCTCTAGGATTTGGATAGATTCCTGTCTCACATTTAGGTCTTTCATCCATTTTGAGTTTATTTTAATGTATGGTGTAAGAAAGTGGCCCCGTTTCATTCTTCTGCATGGGGCTGTCTTAATTTTCCCAGCACCATTTGTTGAAGAATGTCTTTTTTTCCCATTGGATATTTTTTCCTGCTTTGTCAAAGATTAGTTGACCATAGAGTGAGAGCTCATTTCTGGGTTCTCTATTCTGTCCCATTAATCTATGTGTCTGTTTTTGTGCCAGTACCGCACTGTCTTGATGATCACAGCTTTGTAATACAGCTTGAAGTCAGGCATTGTGATGCCTCCAACTTTGGTTTTCTTTGTCAACATTTCTTTGGCTATTTGGGGTCTTTTCTAGGTTCCATACAAATTTTAGGGTTATTTGTTCTAGTTTTGTGAAAAATGTTGATGGTATTTTGATAGGGGTTGTATGTGAGGGTGATCTGGTTGTGACATCTGTCACCCCATTGATCACAAGGGTTGGCTTGGATGATCTGGCTGGCCGAGTTGGTGTCCCAGTTCCTCCCTTATGGCTCGATGTGTGTCCCTCCTGAAGTTGTACACTCAGACTAAGAGGACCACCTTCCTGGATAGAGGAGGATCCTTCTTTGGTCAAGAGCTGTGCTCTCTTGCCAGAACCTACAAACAAGCTCTCGAGGTCTTTCCTTTCCTTTCCTTTCCTTTCCTTTCCTTTCCTTTCCTTTCCTTTCCTTTCCTTTCCTTTCCTTTCCTTTCCTTTCCTTTCCTTCTTTCTTTCTTCTTCTTTCTTCTTCTTTCTTCTTTCTCTTTCTTTCTATGTAAATTCTACACTCAATGTGGAGCTTGAACTCATGTCCGTAAGATTGAGAGTTACAAGCTTTACTGACAGAGCCAGCCAGATGCCCCTATATTTCTTTTCTTAAAAATATTTTATTTATTTATTTGAGAGAGAGAGAGAGTGAGCAAGCAGAGCAGGGTGGTGGATGGAGGGCAGAGGGAGAAGCAGGCTCTCTGCTCAGGCTCCATCCTCTATCCAGGTCACAACTATCCTATTTTTTTAAAAAGATTTTACTTATTTATTTGAGAGAGAGAGAGAGAGAGAGAGAGAGAGAAGTGGGGCTCAGTCCCAGGACCCTTGGATCATGACCTGAGCCAAAGGCAGCCAATCAACTGACTGAGCCACCTGGTGCCCCAAATTTCCTTAATTTCTAAATATGTGGAAATTTTCGGGGTTCCCTCCCCTGCTATTTACTTTTGCTATAATTTCTTGTAATCTGAATATATACTATGTGACATTTTATTCCTTTCAAATATTTTGATACTTTCTCTTTTGGTTCAGAGTATAAGTCAGTGAAAAAAAATTCCTTGGGATGCCTGGGGTGGCTCAGTGTTTAAGTGTCTGCCTTTGGCCCAAGGCATGATCCTGGAGTTCTGGAATCAAGTCCCAGCATCGTGCTCCCTGCCTGGAGCCTGCTTCTCCCTCTGCCTGTGTCTCTGCCTCTCTCTCTGTGTCTGTCATGAATTTTAAAAAAAATTCCTTGTGTGCTTGAAAAGTATTCTATTAAGTAAACTTTGTTTAATTGTGTTATTTAAATCTTCTAAATTATTACTGATTTTTTGGAATGCTTTTTCTATCTAGTACTGAGAAGAAATATGTTAAAATCTTCCTCTGAGATTATTGATTTGTCTGTATTTTATTGTAGTTCATTTAATGTTTAACTTTATAAACAGAAAAGTTATTAGTGCATTACATTTAGAATTATTATAGATTCATGTTGAATCAAATGTTTTATCATCATGAAATAACTTGTTAATGTTTTGTCTTAAAGTCTGTTTTGAAAAAAAAAAAGAAAAAGTCTGTTTTGTCTGAAACTAATAATGGTACACTAGTTTAATTTTGTTTAGTGTTGGCATAGTATATCTTTTTATACATTTTTACTTTCAAGGTTTCTCAATTCTTGCTTGGATGAGTCTCTTGTAAACATTATATGCTTACATTTTGCTTTTTATCCTGTTTGACAAACTTTGCCTTTTATTTGGAATATTTAGTCTATTTACACATAATGTAATTTCTGGTATATTTCAATATAAATTTACCACCTTAATATGTGCCATTTGTCTTACTGCTTTTGTATTTCTTTTTTCTTTTATTAAGATTTTATTTATTTATTTGAGAGAGAGAGAAAGAAAGAGAGCACAAGCAGGGGGAGGGGTACAGGAAGAGAGAGAAGCAGACTCCCAGCTAAGCAGGGAGCCTAATGTGGGGCTCGATCCCAGGACCCAGAGA